CCGGGGGCCCGCCCCCTCCACGCCTAGGTCCCGGGCTCCGCCCACCTTGCAAAGTCATGGACACGTTGTCGAAGTCCTTGTGGTCCGGCTCATTCCACGTCTCGAAGTTCCACTTGGAAACCTGCTCCAGTCCGTACCTCCCTGCAGAGTGTCCATGCGGTGGCGCGTGGGCCCCTCCCCTGGGGCAGGGCTGCCCAGGGTTGGGGTGTGGGTGTAGGGCTGTCAGACTCCTGCGAGTCTGCCCCCGCCCACCGCCCTGACCTCCCTCCCCATCAAGTTCATGACAGACGCCCGGCCAGTATGGCTCAGTGGTTGAGCGTCAGCCTATCAACCAGGAGGTCACAGTTCAATTCCTTGTCAGGGCACGTGCCCCGGTTACAGGCTCCATCCCCAGTGTGGGGCGTGCAGGAGGCAGCTGACCCATGGTTCTCTCTCATCACTGATATTTCTCTCCCCCGCCTTTCCTCTCTGAAGTCGATAAAAAAAAATGTAGAGTTTTTAAAAGTTCACGGCAGAGATTGTGAGAAGGCTGCAGAGGTGCGTGAGGACAGCCAGCCCCGGAGCCCCCGCGTCCTCCAGGCCCCGCTTCCTCACCCACCGATGTACCTCCTGGCCAGGAGGGAGACCAGTTCCTTCCACGCAAACACCTGCCCTTTGTCTTCAAAGTCGGTGAAGTATCCAGAGGGGCTGCCCATCAGCTCGAAGCCTGCAACACGGCCGGCCCTCTGTCCTGCTGCCCACCTCCCACACAGCCCCATGCTGCCCGCCCGGCCCGGCCCACCATGTCCCCACCAAGGCCAGCCCCGGGGAGCAGCCAGCCAGGACCCAGGGGGGCCAGGTCGTGGGAGAGCGCGCCGTGTGGGCAGGGGCCGGCCACACTCACCCGGGAGGAGCTCGTTCTCCCTGAGAAGGTCCAGGTACCCGTCCAGGTGAGTGAAGTTGTAGCTCAGGCCCGGCCCAGCCGACCTGCTGTAAAAGGACACGGAATGTCAGGGCAGGAGCAGGCAGCCGGGGCCGGAACCGAGGCCACGTTCACGTGGGGGGAGAGTCCACAGGTGCACACAGGACTCAGCTCCAGACGCACGGGCCCCTCCCCAGCTGTGGAAGCCTCTCCCTCACAGCCTAGTGCGAACTGGGGCCTGTCCTGGAATCCCCACCCCAAGCAATCCCGGCTCTGAACAGCCAGGGTCAGGGGTGGGGCAGGCAGACAAGTCTGAGAAAGATGCAACAGGATAGAGGAGGCAGAACCGGCATCCTGCAGACGGCTGGCCAGGACCAGGGGCTGGGGGACCAACGGTCCACGGGACCTACTCTCCTCTGTCCCCCTGGAAGCCAGCGCCGCCCCCTCTCCCATGCTCCAAGGGGCAACCTGGGCAGGCAGGAGCGGGGGAAGGCAGCCTCCCCCCCCTGCACGCATCCCAGACGGAGGCCCACTTCCCTCGGGGCTCCTGTTTGGAGAGGACATGGACATCGCCAGGCAATGAAACAAATGAGACGTGCGGGGAGGGGGATGTGCCAGGGAGTCAGGGTCAGGCGGGCGGGCCTTCCAGGCAGCATCCAGGACCCCCACGTGATGGGACACACCAGCCGTGAGTGCGCAGGGCCAGCTGGGACCGTGTGTGCAGAGTCCGGGGGCGGACACGCACGCGTGGTAACGGAGTGGCAGAAGGGCGTCTAGCGGACCTGGGGCAGCACCGGGGTGTGGGTGTGAGACATGAGGTCACACGGGGCCTGGCGGCCACAGTGAGGAGGGACCCCGACTCAGGAGGAAGTGGGGGGCCTATCGGAGACCGGGCAGAGCAGTGCCATGACTTCTTGTGTTTGCTTGTCTTTTCTGTTGTTGTTGTTAATCCTCACCTGAGGACATTTTCCCACTGGTTTTTAGAGAGTGGAAGGGAGAGGGAAAGACAGAGACACCAATATGAGCGAGACACACCGATGGGTTGCCTCCCACCTGACCGACCAGGCCGGGATCGAGCCTGCAGCCCAGGTGCATGCCTTGGACCGGAATCGAACCCGGGACCCTTCAGTCTGCGGGCTGGTGCTCTTTCCACGGAGCCAAGCGGCCAGGGCTGGGTTTGCTTGTTTTTAAGACTCTTTTTTTACAGCAGCTCAGGGTTTACAGCACAATTGGGGGGGGGGGTACAGAAATCTCCCGCCCTGCCCCACACAGCCTCCCCCCAGAGCGGACACTGCTGACGACCGACGAGACGACGCTGGCACGGCATTGCCCGGTCCTCAGTGTGCGCTCGGGCCACTCTCGGTGGTGTGCCCTGCGGGTTTGGAAAGATGGCCATGACCCCACTCTCCGTCAGGGCGTCACACAGAGCCGTCCCAGGGCCCTAGAGCCTCCCTGCCCCGCCCTCCGCCCCACACCCGTGACAAGCACGTCTTTCCTGTCCTCAGTCTTGCCTTTGCCCTGTTTAGAAAGGATCCCCCTGGTGCTCCCTGGAGCCAGAAGATGGCCCCCAGGGGCAGGTGTGGTGTTCAGACCAGGATGAGTGGGCG